AAAGGACAAGTATACTCAAGGGTGAGGATTTGCGAACAATGTATTGATATCGTTTGAATTGCAATTGTGACGCACATGACCATATAAAAATAGTATACTTGTTATGTCACAGCTAATAAGATTAATGTATGCAAATAACCAGTACGTTCATATAATATAAGGTGGAGGTAAAATTAATATAAATCAAATTATTTATTTGAATAGCAATTATTACTCTACTGGTAAAATTAGTGATTTTTACATCACTAAATTCCCAACTCTGAGTCTCTATTTAGAATTTCTGGACAGAAAACTAGAGAGCTGTTATTTTACACAAAAAATAAGAGTTATGTGGTTGTCTGTCAATTCTTTCATTCCTGTTTACTTTATTTTTACTCTGTGCCGTACAATGGAACAGCACAAGCTTATTACATAATAATGTTTCAATATCCATAAACTAATTTTTAGCCTCTATCTTCAATAGAAACAAAATTTAAGATTCACAGAAATATCATTAAGTAATAAATAATAATTCCTCGAGAGCCTTTACATAGGTACATATGCTGTATGTTGTACATACATATGTTGTGTTTCAGATTTTTAAATAGTAAACAGGAGCAAAATAAAAATCTCCGAGTAAGTTACGTTCATTTGCTGCAATCTACATATGTTCCAAATATGAAGGAATATATTGCGATCAAATTGTATAAAAAATCTGAGTTTTTGTCAGATTACAGAACATATAATAACAATTCAAATTGTACAACATTATCTTTTTCAACTACATTTCGGGATTTATATACCAACCACTAGGCGAATCCCCCGCGACCACTGCCTTACAGGTTAAGAGCTCTCATCTATGAGAGCTTTATAAAGTGTATGTATAATACATATGATTTAACATTGTCTAACAGTTCTGTAGAAGATTAATATTTTGGTCCGTCGGTACTGCAGCGTTGCACTTGCAATGATGTCAATGCAAATCTATCATTTTTGGTTTTTCCTTATATTTTACCTAGGACTGTTAGCCCATCTGGAATTGGGAAGTTAATAGTTTATTTCACCTTCTTGATTCGAATCCCGGATCGGGTCAAGTATAGTTATTTGGTTTTTCTGTCAAAAAATCTTCAGTTTTCAGTATTCCCCTTATCGCGGAGAGCATTTAAAGCTCATGAGCACGAATCTAAGAGAAATAGAGAGTGCACTTGTGTTTGCACGCATACTTGTGCACTGTAATATCACCTGGGCATATGGCTTGTCCCAATGAGATGAGATGAAGCCGCCGTGGCCTAAATCAGTCAGAAGTGCATTTTTTTATTATTATTCGTTCTGGCCATTGATACTTAACAAATATTTTTCTGTCTCATCTCTAATCGAATCACAGTGTCAAAGGTATAGTGCTTGCTTCTGCGTTTCCGCACTGACTTGCACACTAAAATATTTTAGCCAATCTTATGGTATGGATGGTTCCATTGAGATGGGCTACTGAGATTAAAAGTTCTGTTGGAAAATTTTGAAATCATGAACGCCATCAAACGATAAAAATAACAAAAGCAAGTTTAAACAGCCTTCTTTCAACCTTTTTAATTAAACGAAACCTTTTCCCATATGAGAAGCACAGTGTAGAATAGTACAATACTCTGTGACACTAATATTTTTAAGGAAGTGTTTACATTAAAAATTTCTTTGTAGAGAATTTTCATTTTACTTGAAAGTCAAGAAACGGAGCTGCAGCTGACAATTTAGCTTACACTTTGTTAGTACAGGTTTTAATTATTAAAATGCTTTCAAGAGGGAAAACCTTATTCAACCTGTTTTGCTTTCTTGGCCTTGTATTCTATTGCATTATCTAAAGAGCATCTTATGATTTTAAACTAACTAGGTATACTATCTTCTCATTTATATTTAATAAGGTATACTAAGAATACTCCATTGTAATTGAATATCCAGCTTCCTATTGATTAAAACTTATTTATAGTTGTAATTTTTCAATCTTCTCTTTGAAAATAAAAGTAATATATAAATAGTAACCTTTGACATGAATTATATATGCTTTCTCGATGGGTGTGCAGATATACATTATAATAGATTCATTTCATAAAAATTGATCATAGATAGAGCGAAACAGTCATTTCAAACAGTTAGTACATTTTTATTTTTAAAAATACGCGTTATAGCATCGTATGTCTTAAATGGAAATGTACCTACAGTTTTTCAAGGTTTTGATAACCGGAAGTTAAAATTCCTCTGTCGCCATTTGTCCATATGTCACAGTCACTATTCTCGGAGACTATATTTTGGATTTTGTAGCTCTAATTTAGTAAATGGATGTATCATTTCAATTATTTATATAGTGCTCATTTTTATTTTTTGTTCACTAAACATCAAAAATAATTAAATATCCAGTGTGCTCCATGAATGTAACTGAGAACCAACTGAATTTTTTAAAATAAAGTAATTTAAAGTACAGGAATTTGATAAAGTGCAAGTCAAATTTGCGCACTGAGAGATTCGTACCACCATTACTCATCACATTTTACATGTCTGAAAACTTAATAATCCAGGAGAAATATGAATAATAAGAAAAACCGATGGTCTTGTGTAACAGCTAAGTGGTTGTACAAACGCATAGTTTTTCATTTGTAACATCGCGTGTATCGCAGAAAACATTCTTCAACCTACAAAGTTCCTGCAACTGTAATTCGTAGCAAGATCCGGTACACTTTGCTTACTGCACGATGTACTAACTCATGTCCGTATAAATCCATCAATGGCAGAACAAAATCGTAAAAGTTTATTTCATTTCTCAATTTAAGAGTGTCTGTCTATTCTACTTTGTAACATTACAAGTTTTATTACAAGTACCTATGTTGTTCTCGTAACTGTGCAGGTTTGTAAAAGTATTAAATTATTTTAGATTATATCCGTGTATTATACTTTCTTAGATTTGCTTTCCTATGTCAGTTTGTTGATACTCCTGTACAGGTCGTATTTTACAACCGATCTGGACCAAATAAGGTATACAGGTGTTAGCACTTTATAGTTGTTTTTGCGTCGGGGATTTTGGATTGGAAAGATACTTCCTCCAAAAAGGGGCAAAAACGGGGCTACTGGATATCTCTACCTTATGAAATCCGACTTCGATGGTTCTTTTTTATATGAAAAGCAGTAAGTAAACTTTAAGTTGGTCTCATAAAAATTTGGCGAATATCTGATCAGGATCTTCGGCCTGATGAGCAGAATAAATGATTGCAAAAACGATTTGCGCTCGCGAGGTCTACTTTTCGCAGAACTCCTAGTTTAATTTTGTGGGTAGATACTGTTAGTAACAACTATATAATGACCTTTGAGATGTCTAAAACCTTACTTTTGCTCGTGCCCAGGATTGCTGTAAAGTATTCAAAATGTCGGGAACCAAAAATCAAAATGAATTCTCCCCACTTAATAATCTTAATACACTTAATATCAGCCCCTTTTTCGAGAACAACTAGTAAATATTTAATCATGATCATCATTCAATATTCAATTTAAGCCACAGACAGATTTTTTACTTGGTTTTCTTAAATATACGAGTACAAAGAATCTTGCAATTATATTCAATATTCTATTTTGAATAGTTCAGATAACATATTATTTAAACGTATACTCGTATATCTTTAAACAAGTAGATTAATCAAGGCTGTATTCATTTCCATTGGTTTATTCCAACTGCAGAGGGCACACCCATATTAATTCCTCCTGACCTTCTAATATATTAAATAGTCTGACTTCTATCGATTTATTACGAATGTTCGAAAATACAATTTTCACACTCACCTATATCTGTCACCGACCGCCGCAGCGTCAGGTCAAAAACTAAATGTAACCTCTTTGCGAGGGCCCTAACATTTGGTTCGTTAGCTAAATTAGCGTGTTAGCTCAAACCGGTCTGCGCTCTGAAGAGCTTCTACACGGAAATTTCTTTAACATTTTTGCGCAAGTATTTTTATGGTTTAGTGAAATCTTTAAAGCTCTACTGCTTTAGTATGATAATATTCATTTAAATTCAAGGCTATGTTGCATGCATTTTCAACTTTTTAAATTAAGATGAAGTTATATATTTTAATAGAGTTGTTTTATAGTCGTGGGTTGAATTTTCAATATTTTCATATCTAGAATGAAATACCTGACTACATTGTTTAATTTAATCGATTCTGTCTGGATGTCTTTTAAAGAACTTAATTTGTTTTAAATATAATGTTTAAATATAAGTGCAAATTATTAAGTCCACTTATTTAAGGGCGACGACAGCAAAATTTACTTTACCGGTAGCCCGATTAAAATTAAGAAGAATCAATTGAAATTAATCAGTAATCATTTAATTTATTTGTTTTGTTTACGTTTAAATAAGATTTGAGCAATTCATAAAATTAAATAAATTCAAATACCGTACAACATTTATTGACTCTCATACGACGTTTTTCATATGACACTTGTATTACGGTGCAGGAAAATAGCATAGGAGCAAACCTGTATGTCTCAGAGATACTAGCTTTTACACGTTTCTTCATAAGTTTTCGAAAGACATCCGCCAAACTGCACTTGGCTAACATGGTGGATTATGGCTTGATCTGAGGGGAGTCGATATGAGGGGCATATTGAAGGAAGGCCCATACCCAGCAGTTGGAAGTTAAAAAGGGCTAAATACGTAACATACATAACCTTTGCAGCTTAGTGAGAGAACGTAGTGATTAACTAGTGATACAGTTTTTCATGTTTGGCGTAAATAAGTACCTCTGCACGTCTATTAACTTTGCATTGGAATCCAACTCGCGACCTTAGGTTTAGAGTTGTTTTATTTACATAATATTCTTGCTACCAGTGCAAAATTATTGGAATATACCTGCTGGACCTTGAAACATTGTTTATTCAAATGATCGTATATTTTGTTTCCAAAATCGTAAAGGTTTAGGTTTTTTTCTGTATATTATATTGGATTATTATAAAGACAGTTCAATCAGAATAGTAGATATGATACTTACATGTGTAAAATAGTAGTAATAAACGTCCACTCCAGAGTCAGCCAGTATCTCCGCAAAATAATTTGTGGGGCACACGAAGAAGTAGTCACCCACGACATCAGCGATCATTTTTTGGTTCAGGTATCCATCCGTTATTTCTTCCCAATCTGTATACTAAAAGAAAAAAAAAGCAATTCAAAAATTACCCATACATACAATATTATTTATTATTTTTATATAGCATTGTATCTACTGTTTCAATCGCGCTATCATTAGAATGCGCTGAAATGCTTATGTAAATTATATTTTTATACATAATAGTGTTATAAAATAAATTATTTTTTTACTGGTAGCCCACTCTTAATCACTTGTAATAAATTAAGAAAATGAAAAAATATATTCGTTCACATTTTCTCACTCCCTCTTATTAGAGGTAGCAAGAATTCTCCCACATAATAAAAATATTGTAAGCTAACGACTCACCTTCGCTCGCTCGGGTTCGTCTCTAACTTGATTCCCTTAAAGGATGATTTCCGGTATAAAAACTATCCTATGCCCTTCCCAGGGCCTCAAACTATCTACTTACCAAATATCATCTAAATCGGTTCAGTAGATCCAAAGATTACCCCAACTACCTCAAAAACTCACAAATTCACAAACTTTACCTCTTTATAATATTAGTATAGATATATACTAATTCGTTCAGTTTATCATAGGCTATGTGATCCACCTTGTAACCGTATGGATGATGTGTGAATGTTATTTTATGCAATAGAAAAAAAAATACTCGTATCTAAGTTTAAATAAATAAGAAAAGGTATACGTAAAAATAAGAAAAATGTAAGAAAATTCCCTTTGAATAAGCGGTATTCAAATAAGCGGCAAATAAAATTAAATTATTCGCATTACTGATACGTGGGCACATCATTTTCCAACGGAGCTAGCAATTTAAAACTGGGAAGTCGTCATTATTCGATTCTAGGAAAGACTTAATTCCACAGGGACATTAGCCAATGTATAGCTGAGGGTAAAAATATGAATAATGACGAACCATACATAGTGTTTTCTGTGGGTTTCCTCGCACTTTTTGTCATTTTTACTTAGTATACAAACCATTCTTTCAAATACAAGTCGAAAATCACAAGTTTAGAAAATAAATTTATCTGTTAAATATTAAAAAGAAAAAACTTTAGAGAGTTTATAGTATAGGTATTTATGGTTTTTTTAAGTGATATATTTAATTTATTCCACTGCCATATATTGGTTAAAATTTTTGGCAAACTACGTACGACTTAATTCACTAAATGTCATCAAAATTTTCATAATAATATAACCAACTACGTTTTAATGTTTAATATAGATTTCTCATATATGAGATATTTTTCCGCAGTAAAAAGTATCCTATATATTGACCCCGATAACCAGCTATCATCATACAAAATTTCATAAAAATCTGCCCAGTGGTTTTCTTGTAATGCTTTCCAGACAGACAGACAAAAATTCTAAAAACTGTAGTTTCGGCCTTTTTATGGATAATAATGACTATTTTAATAAGATTTTCCAAAAAATCTATACTAATATTATAAAGAGGTAACGTTTGTGAGTTTGTGACGTTGTAGGGGGTAATCTCTGGATCTACTGAACCGATTTAGATTTACAATTACCTATATGCATAATATGTACTTACATATATACGAGTATGTAGTCGCGTCAATTTTATTAAAAAAAAGACTACGATTTCGTGCGATATAGGAGATTTTTAAATAATAAGAAGTACAAAGTTACATATGAAAAATCTGAATTTTAATATTACTTTCTTGGATTTAGGCATCAGCCTAAAATGTCAAATATTAATTTGACATTTTAAATAATAGTTTCATTCTTTCTTGCTTCTTTCATTCTATTCGGGTTATATCGAGGTTTTGTCGGGGCTTAACTAAAACAATCATTGTCATCTAAATAGAGATCATTATACTCGTAGTTTATATTCATATATTTATATATAATCTAAATAGAGATCATTAAAACTTTCACGAAATCGGAGACATAAAAATAAACATGGTATGACAAAAATTCAATAGTTAAATTAAAAATATTAATTAAAGAAAAAAAATAAAAAAGAATTTAATATACATTGTGCAGTAGGTATGTATATTATTATCATCTGTGCTATACAAAAGTTTAATTGAAATTCGCCAAACAACCCCTAAGCCCTCAATGCCAAACTTTCTACATACAAAAATATTTAAAGTAAGAATTTGGTGCCTGTATAAGTTCACTAGCAGAACCCGCAGCTTCGTCCGCATTCAATCTACAAAAAACTCTTTGGCTTTATATTATACAGCGATTAATTTATAAAATACTCGTGTGTGTGTGTGTGTGTGTGTGTGTGTGTGTGTGTGTGTGTGTGTGTGTGTGTGTGTGTATGTGTGTGTGCGTGTGTGTGTGTATGTCACAATTACTTATCAATACAAAGGCCGAATCTATAGTTCTCAAAATTTTTGTCCGTCTGTAAATAGCTGGTTATCCGGGTCAACATATAGGATACTTTTTACTGCGGGAAAATATCTCTATTCTGATAAATCTTTACTAACCGTTAAAACTTTCTAAGAACGAATCCGAGAGGAGCGAGGGTGAGTCACTAGTTGTATCATAATATTGTATATTGCAAATGCAATTTAGTAAGTACCCGGCATATTGGTACCGAGCTCCCGAGTCCCCTTTACCTCAATTTGTTACTTGAGAATTTACTTTCCTTTAATTATTGAAAAGCTTATAATGTAATAATTATCTTTAGGAAGGGTCTTCTAAGATAATTTCATTGAAACCTCAATGTCATTATGAGGTTATTGTCTCCAGAATTTTTGACCGACTTTAAAAAGGAAAACTCAATTCAGCTATATGTTTTTCTGGGTTTCTTAAACTTAACTTATTGTCAATTGTGATACGATACTCAATTTTCATTTTTTTAAGAAATAGGCTTACCTCAAGGGTGTTTACGTATAAATTAAAAATTGTTAAGTTATTTTAAAGCCAATGTTACTTTATTTTTAGTAGGTAAAATATAAATAATTATTTAACGACATTATATATTTATAACGACGACACGATGACGACACTTTTGGCTCAGTTGGTAGTGACCCTACTTGATGTGCCAGCGGTCGCGGGTTCGAGTCCCGCTGGTGGCATTCATTTGTGTGATGAGCACGAATGTTTCTACCCCAGTCATGGGTGTTTATATTTATAATATGTATGTATTTAAAGTTATATATACATATTGAATGTATTAACTATCTGGTAATCATAACACAAGCCTCGTAGCTTACCATGGAACTTGATGGCGCTGTGTGTTAATATCCCAATATTTATTATTATTAATTTTTATTTTCTTTGTTAACCATGTCATAGCCACCCCACCCACGTGAAAATATTAAATATCTAACAAATTTTACTAGACCTTGCCCGCGGCTTTGCTTTATTCTCCATACTCAAATACCCAACTGTACTAATATATGTATAAATATTTATAGTGATAAAAACCATCTAGTGGCCACTTATAAAAAAGGCATAGTTTAAAAATTTAAATACCACTATACATTTAACCCTACGAGTTTCTTTCTGATATAGGTTGCCTGGAAGAGATCACTTTGAGTGATAAGGCTGCTTTTACACTGAAATAAGTGTCTGTAAATTCTTGTATTCTTTTTAAATTGTATTTCTTTCGCCTCTAGTTACTTAAAAAATGGGAAGTGGGGGTAGGAGGCTGAAAAATACGTTACGACCTATTATCATACCTACCAAATATACAAAAAAATATCATTAAAATCGGTCGAGCCGTTTCAGAGGAGTGCGACAAAAAAAACACCGTTTCACAAGAAATTTATATATTAGAAAAGATTAGATTTATTAAGTTTTACTAAACATTTTATCCAATAGCAGTAGGTACGTACTAACATTTTTGGAATTTTCTTTAGATAATAGTTTTAAAATACAATATTTTTCTTTACTATCGCGTGATTACACTGAAAGTTAAAGCTTGAGCGATCCCATAAGAAGCAAAGGACACGATTTTGGCTGGTTGCGATATAAATTGAAACACGCGATGTATTAAAGCATAGTTATTTAAAACAGAATGATCACTTTAACACATTTAGATATTTTCTAGGACTAATTAAAAATAGCCTGGAGCAAATTTTTGGTAACAACCCCCTTGAATCGTGTTTGTTTATGTGTTTTGTGGTTTAAAAAATAAATTTCGCCTGGAAATAGAGTGAGGGGTCCACCACATAGGTCGGGTTCTTAGACTTTGATATACTACATGAGAAATGTATATTTAGATTTATATAATCTATTAAAATAAATCATATGTATAGCTATATTTTAACTTTTACTATTTATTACCGCTTAAATAATCTATACTAATATTATAAAGAGGTAAAGTTTGTGAGTTTGTGTCGTTGTAGGGGGTAATCTTTGGATCTACTGAACCAAGTAGATAGAAATTTGGTAAGAAGATAGTTTCAGACCCTGGAAAGGACATAGGATACATTTTATCCCGGAAATCATCCCTTAAGGGGGTGAAAATGGGGATGAACGTTTGTATTTGAAACCAAAATTAAAAAACAGATTCAGAATATATTCCATAACAGCACATGGTAGTTTGTAATAGGTATGTATTTAACAAATTCAATTATTTACCGATAAACATATTTATTGGTCAATAAATATGATTATCTTTATATAGTATAAAATGAAGTCGCTTCCGCTGTCTGTTCGCTTAGATATTTTAAACTACTCAAAGGATTTTAATGCAGTTGTCTGCTATAGATAGAGTGATTCAAGAGGAAGGTTTATATGTATGTATTATTGTATTGTATTCAGCCCTTTTTGAACATCCCACTGCTGGGTACGGGCCTCCCTTCAATACGAAGGGGATCAGGCCGTAGTCCACCACGCTGGCTAAGTGCGGGTATATGTATAATATATGCATATTGTAGTACAGAAAAGTCGAGAAATTCAAAGATTTGTATTTTATACTAATCGATAAAACGTACGTACCTAGGGACGAACCCGAGCAAAGCGAGGGTGAAGCGCTAATTTATCAATAAAAACCAGCTCGACGTCGACAATTATATACGAAAAACCGTAGTACGTAGTATGAGATTTAGCCGAATTGCAATCCATCTGTCATCGATATGTCGCGGGCATATTGTATAATTCGTCATTATACAAATGGCGCCATCCATTTGCAAACGTTTGCGCGATTGTAAAATGCCAGATATAAAATCGATAATACCAGTGGAAATATATTTTTAGTTCCTAAGGACTATATTTTCTTCTGCATTTTATAAATTAATACTTGCATTTTATTCTATGTACCTATTCTTATCTCTTTAAATGATTAACTAACATTTTCCCGCAGCGCCGCGCGTGTAGTTTAATTATGTCGTACTAATTACTATATCTTATAAAATTATAGCCTATGATGTAAGTGCTATATTACTGTAAAGTTTCTTAAAAACCCGTTCAGTAGTTTTTCGTGAAAGAGTAACAAATATCTTTCCATTCTCACAAACTTTCGAGTTTACGAAATCGATAATTTTTCGAATTTTAATCATATGCAGTAAATCTAATAAACTTTTGTAGCCCTGTAATTTTTTTCTTCATAGGTATTGATTTGCCAAAAATACAGATATCTTTTAAAAGAACGTTACAATAAATAGCGAATAATTACGAAATCACTTATTTTGACCAAAATACCTACAAACAAAAGCTACCCCTATCGACTCACAGTGTTGACAAGCGAGCAGGCTACAAGCACGATTTCAAACTGGTTGAACAGTCAATGATAACAATTCCAGCTAGCAGTTATCAATAATGGTAAAGTATCAGGGTGACATTCGAACATTTCTGCATATATGTCTATCGTAAATTAAACGCAGGAATAAATCTCTACTACGAACACTTTACGTACAAAATTATAGAAAATTTAAAACAACTTAAACAGATCCAAAAATAATAATCATCATTTGGGTTGAACCTACATATAAATAGATAAAAAAATCGCATACAAAAGCTACTCGTACTTGTGAATACAATGTTTCTTATATTCCCAATGGAAAAGAATACGGATTGGCTAGAATTAAAAACAGATCTAGGTATATGACCTCTGTGGCCAAGCCTATACTTATATAAGAAACACCACGCCTGAAGGGCACATATCATTCAGTAGTCCTACATAAACCATCGGTCTTTAGAACTAATAATATTTGCGTTAGGAAATTTAAAATTCCGAGTGTTTACACGATATAGACAAAAGTGTCGCCTAAATATGATATATATAATATAGCGACTCACCCTCCCTCCGCTCGGGTTCGTCCCTAGGTACGTTGTAACGGTTAATATAGATTTCTCAGAGATGAGATATTTTCCCTCAGTACAAAGTATTCTATATGTTGACCCGGATAACCAACTATCATCATATCATTTCATCAAAATGGTTGATGCGTTCCCAGACAGACAGTCAGACAAAAATTCTAAAAACTATAGATTCAGCCAAAAATATTTAATTCCCAGATTCGACTCAGAATTCTATTATAATATGTATAGATTATGCCGAAAACGATAAAATCAATATCGAAAACTAAGAAACGATTTTTTGTGAGTCTGTGATAGCGCTAATGTAAGCGGAAGCACGTTTAATTAAATTAAATTTTATATTCACTATATTTTGAGAAATCTTACAAAAAACCTTCAAAAATATAGAACTCGTTATAGAATTTCCGAAAACTAAAGTTTAAATGAAATGTATACGTATATTATAAGGATGATTTTTTTTATCACATAAAAAAAAATATTTTTACATCATTTGACTCACTTATAAATAGGTAAAATTAATTTTGATTTTAAGAATCTTTCTTCATTACAAATGTTTTATTAAAAGTGTATCAATTCATATTATTTTATTCATATACTTTAACTTATAATACATTATAACACAACGAATAAGCGAAAAAAATAACAATCAAGTCTGAGACACTCCAGATCTAGATAATTCCAAATGAAAAAAATAAGAACGTTTAATAAAAAGTAGTAAGTTTAATACACAGTTTAGTAAAATAAAGAAATGCTCAGAGTAAATGTAATATTATAAATTTTTTGTCTAACTTTTAAACTTAAAATATAAATAAAGTAAAAAGTTAAAATATAATAACTTATTATAAAAAATATTATTTACCTGAAAAACAATGGCTTCTCTCTTGATTTTGGAGAATTCCTTAAAGATCGTGTCTATAATTTCCAAGAACTTTTCCCTCTGCAGAAAACTCGGACCATCCTTTTCGAAATAATCGAGAAAGTCGTAAAGCAGAAAATATGTTCCTGAAAGTAAATAATAAGTTATAGGTATCATATTTCACAGAATATCTTGAATCATTTTATTGAATAACCTTTGATCAAAAATATGATATTTCTTATTTTCTTTTTCATTTTATTTGTAGAGAAAATTATATGAACTAGAAATCCAATAATTTAAAAGAAAGGAAATGAAATCATCTTTTAAGTATAATTTTGTGTTATTAGTATATTTTATCAATAACCAATATTAAATTGAATTTCAAACAGTCAAATTTTCTAAAACAGAGCAGTTATTTTATAATAAAACGAATAACCAAACCGAAGTTCAAACCGTAACTAGTATAACTCAAATAAACTTGATAACGAGGCTTGTTAGCAAATAGGAAACGTTGAAACATTTCCAAACCAATTATTCTCTTATGGTCTCCTTAAGCTGTAAAACTTTTAACTGTATTTAAATGAGGGTTAAACTGTGTTTATGGGATGTAATCTAGTTTATGGACTATCTTATAGCCTTATACTTTATATCCTAAGCCTTTGATTTGTGTTCATCCTCATCAAAACTTTAGCGCAATATGAAAACGTATACATAGTTTATGTTTTGATCAGAGAAGGACTATTTGCATGATAATACGAAATTTGACTCCTAGAACGCTTACGTGGAATACGGCTTCAAAAGCCATCATAATTTCGAACATTAATATTGAAATAATAAACTTTTTCCACTAGACTAAGAATAAAATAAAGAAACGTAATTGGAATAAGGAGAAATTTTGAAACTAGAAAGCAAGCACAATAGAATTTTGTTTTCATTTGTTGAGAAAAGAACAACATTAGTTTTAGTAAAATAATGCTAAACCAACAATTCATAACTGGCGTATGATAAGCCAAGAGAATTCAATTTAAATATGAAAATTATATCTTTGCAAACGACATTGCATGTGTAGTTTGTTTTTCATTACAAGCATTTGAAAATAATTCACTGAAGCCTTGCATATAAAATACAGAATTTTGTATGCAACTATTTAAATAAAGGTTGCAAGGAAATCGTATTTCTAATCACGACATACTAAAAGGATTTAGTGTTTTAGTTTTTTTGCGAATTTAGTTTTTAACAGACTTCAAAAAAAGCCGTTCAATACAGGTATATTTTTTGAAAGAAATAAATGTAACTATTTATTTATTATTTCTAACAAGTTTATTTTTAGCTAATGATGGAATCGAGATACGAATAATAATTTATGCGTTGAGAACCTGTAATATACAAAGTTTGGTAATTATATGTTAATAATATAACTTCATTTGTACTACTACTTTTTCTTCTTTACTTTAAAAGAACACAATTTTAATCATAACTACCAGGTATCATATTAATATAATAAGGATGACACTGTCTCATCATAAACAATTTTTGACAAACTACAGAAATATTTCCTCAAAGTTCCTAGGTTTTAGCTTTCCCTTGTCATTCCACTAAGCTACTTTCTTCTTTTATATTCAGCTGCCTACAATAATGAAGGTCACTGTAACATTTTGAATAAATATAAGATAGAACGTGTACGGAACGAGCAGCACGAGTGTCTTCATTAAAACACACTTGCCAACACTTGGTGCGCTGAAACGTGCTTTCCAGATACATTAAAATATTCTGCTAAGCTAGATTTTTTACCCGCAAAGCTAACTAATAAATATATAACTTCTACTATGTTCCTAATATAAAAGACTTAAGAACTTGCCTAACCTAATTTTTTCGCCGTATTTTTTTTCAATCATATCTAATAGTAACAATGAAGTTAAATAATATCAGTTATTTAACGTCTCACGCGGACCAGACCCCCTTTCAGTGCGAAGGAGAACTAGCCGTAGTCCACGTCGATGAAGTGCGGGTTGGTGGACTTTATTTTTCGAAAATTTGCTAAGTTCTCTCAATCATGAAATTGAATCACACATGAGAATATCGGAAGTAAAAGCCCGGGATTTGAACTCTCCATACAATTGAACCAATTACTACTACCTTATAAACATATTATGCCAAAAAAATCTCAGTATATTATGTAATATGTACGAGTGTTTCAGCTTTACCTATTTTTTAAATCGCTGCATGGAACAACCTGCAATATCGATCTTTTAGCCGTGTACGAACGTGAATTTGAGTGTTTTTGCAGATCAAAAGCGAAACCTGAAATAACCAGATCAGAAGCGCGGCATATTTTTTGCTACTAGCATTCTCCGCCGGTAGTGTTACCATCAAACGTTGACTCGTTTTGTGGTTAGTGTTCTCAGAATTTCAGATGTCTCTAATCTTATCAATTGGTACGTACTATGCTAGAAACACCAAGGTGTATTTATTATTTTATATATTTGTTTATTATGTGTATATGATCAATTAACGTAAAAATACTTAATTCATTTTATTATACCAACCTCCAAACCAAACTAACTCTCTATCAAAGGGTCAAAGGAACATAAAACTTTCTTCCGAACAAAGGATAGGTGTCGTTAAATTAATTCTCTGCGTACGATCCTAATTGCTTATAAACCGGCATAACACATATTTAATATAATGGATAGAAGTAAGTATAAAGTTGGTTCATTAATTCAAAGCGGATGAAAGGTCTAGATTTTGCTAATATTTTTATGTTTTACAAAACGTAATCGTTTTAAGCCCAGCTCGACCAGAAAGTGGTTATTAATAATCAAGTATATGTACATATGTTTATTTGTATGATCTATATGAGATTAGAATTTTTCGGTTTCGACATAGATTATATTTAATTATCTTGTAATATTATAAAATTAAAAAGGGGGAAGTCAATATTTCACTCTTGCAACAGTATGGGTATTAAAAAATGTAGAAAATAACCAATTCCAATAATACTTTTATTCTAATACTAGCGACTCACCCTCGCTTCGCTCGGGTTCTTCCCTAGGTTGATACCCCGTACTAACTTCATACCCGTTTTCACCCCCTTAAGGGATGATCTACGGCATAAAAGTATCGAGTGTTCTTCCCAAGGTTTCAAAATATCTTCTTACCAAATTTCATCTAAATCGATTCAGTAGATCCAGAGATTACCCCCTACAATGTCACAAACTCACAATCTCACAGACTCACAAACTTTACCTCTATAATATTAGTATAGATTATGATACTAACTATAAAAAAGTATTTGCAAAAAAATATTAAGCTCGTTATAACCATTTGGTCATAATGCTAAACAATGATAAATATAAGATTATAAAATAATAGGCACAGTGATTAATTTAGACAATTATAACATCGTAACACGTAAACAATGAATTAAGGAAAATTGTTTCTTAAAACACGTGAATTGCCTCAACATTAAATCATTTAGGTTTTGCTATTATTATTAAAGTATTATGTAATGATGATTAAAAAATACCTTTATCAAAAACAAATTCTCACACAATTCTTTTAATATATGATGACTATCGATAGAAATCGTAATAGACTGTCAGAATAGGACAGACGCAGACTTATTGCCGGATAATTACGTTAAAACATTTGACATAATAATCCTTTGTAATCTCAAGACGATTAATTCCAATATTATTTTATAAAGGATAACAATTTCTAAGGATGAGAAGGCCGATGTCGGAGCCATCCGACGTTTTCTAGAACTTGCTCTTATACAGTCTAAAGTTAGGGGTGTACTTGCACGATTTTATTTAATATTATTTAATAAAAACATATAATATATAATCATTAGCACAAAATTTTATATTGTTGCAATATACTTTAAAGTAAAATATAATACTGTTAAGTTGTAATTTACTTCTTTGACACCTGATATTATGAATCTTTTACTCAAATATTTTCCATTAAAAATGTATTTATAAGAAACGAATAGACGACATAAATTAATATCTGAGTAATTTGTATAAAAATCCTTGAAAATCAGAAAATGTACGCACAAAAACTATTTATCGGACCAGATATAAGTAAAGTCCTGAACACCTGCCAACCCTATTTCGCCCCCCTTGACAGGGAGGATGGGGCCCCCCTGGATTGGAACCTAACTACGTGGGCGAGTCTGTAGTACTTGGTAGTACGGCTACGGGCCACGTCGTGATATTGTGTTTACGTGCTATTGCGCAAGCGTGGTCTCTTACCCATCCACCTTTAGGTGTGTGCCACGCAGACGACCTCGAACTCTATGCCCGATATTGATATGTCACGCTTTATGATAAAAACAAGGTGATAAAGGTTATCTTTTGGGTAATATAGGATTTGTAATTATGTATCAGGATTTTTCAAGCTTATTTTTTGTCTTATTTTTTCCAATACAAAATTACTTGTAGTCTTTGTTTTTCCTATAATTCGTTTATTCAAAATGGATATTAAGTCAAAAATCTCATATCCTAACCTATTAAAGTCTTCAATATGTCTGAGCGACATCCCGTTTTTATATATACTTTAATATATTGGAAAAACGGTGTGCTAGGCAAATAAAAAGCAGAACAATTAAACATAATATCTCAACTAATAATAAGATAGTACAAGGTACTTTCAGTGTTCTTGTAAACGGCAATGAACAAAGTAATGAAATATGCTAACTACTTCGTCTTTTACGAGGCGTAGTTTGTTTACTCTACGGTATACCTATTTTTCAAGGGATAAATAAGCGCAATGTAAACAAAAATCTCGACTATTGTGGCTACGGTAATATATTGTGCAATGAAAAATACCTCTTGGTTTTATGTATAAGTACATACCTATAGCCGTAATACTGAAAGCAAACACTTCTGGTACACCAGGCTTTAAGAACAATGTAAACTCAGCGTATTCGAGGCTGCTTTTAAAATTAATGAGCTAAATGATAAAAATATATTCATGCCCTTAATAATAATATGGTACACATTTTAATATTAAATACTAAAAGACTACCTCGGTAGTTTAGTGGCTAGCATGTATAGCTGCTGATCCGGAGGCCCTGGGATCGAGTACCGGGTCAGGCCAAGTTTAATTTCTCTCTCTGTTTTTCTGTTAAGATCTTCTCAATAGCAGCCCAGAGTTGAGAAGTTGGCGATATTGCACCCCCGTACCTTAGCGCAGGATTGACCGTTTCGACTTCGGTTCGACTCAACCGGTGAAATTCTCACCAGGCGAGTCCAAATTTCGTCCCATCGGATTTTGAGAGGAAAAGGAATAGGGAATGCACTTGTGCCTGCGCGTACACTTGTGCACTATAATATCTCCTGCGCATTTGGCTAGTCTCAGTGAGATTGGCCGCCGTGACCGAAATCAATTACGAGGGCATTATCTATTAAATAAATATCGTAATGTTATTATTAGTTTTCAATAGTCTACTAGCATCTAGCGGTCTACTTCGGCGATCTGTTTTTTTTATTTACTTACCTATATTATTATAGGTCATACTAGCGGCTCACCCTCGCTTCGCTCGGGTTCGTCGCTAGGTACGTTTTAAATAGATATAAAAAGAAAAAATCTTTCTTTCTCACATTTTAATTATATGTTTTAATACTTACCTATTCCGGACTAAGAGAAATCCAAAAATTAAAATATCATAAAAATTGGAACGCGGTCGAACGGGATAAAAAGTATCCTATGTCCTTCTCCTGGCTCTAAACTACCTCCCTGCCAATTTTCAGCTAAATCGGTTCAGCCGTTCTTGAGTTATAAGCGAAGTAACTAACACGACTTTCTTTTATATATATAGATTTCAGTGTGCACTGTCTATATTTTAAGTATATTAAATACAAGTGTTCTTTTTAAAGCAAAAATATAAACATTGTTTGTTTTGCTTATTAGCTGTTTGCTTTGCTGAAAATTGATGAATGTGTGTTTCAATTTCAAATTGCGACTTTTAGTGTCTCTTCGTACTAAGTTACCTTTGCATAATAAATAAATAATAAGATTTTACAGCAATTTTTATCTAAATAATCACAAAATAATCTATAGCTTATAATATTATTGTCAAAAGTATTTCTATTGACATTGGAGTTAAACCACAAACCGCAATAGTTTGTTTTGATTGTAATACTGATACCATAACTATTAGACACGTACGTCACTCGGCACTTCTTTTACCGCAAGAACCTAGGATTGATATGGGTCATTTGTTAGATGAATAATTTTCCACTCTGCTCTGCTCTGAGAAAATTTTACTGTCAGTGTTTTCCGTTAAGGTAATCAGCAATGAAGTTGAACGTTCGCGTCGTTAAGAGCCTCGTTAGGACGCCATTAATTTTAACTTGCAATTTGAACTTTAATTAATATAGTATTTTGTAGGAATACCCGTTTTTTCAGCAGTTACTAAAAATTACTTTAAAATTATTAGTCTAAGCGTAATATTATGTATTTGTAAGTTTAAATTGTAAGTCTAATGGTTTGATAAATATAATGAAAAATACCTTCATCTTGATTGCTTCCGAGTAAAACTTCAGTATTATGAAAATGTCCCTCTTTCATCATTGTGTCTGGATCTTTTGGCAGGAATATACCATCAACAGTTGGAGCTGATGGGAACCCTAGAATACCTGTATAAGAATTCCATTGTTGGACAGAAATAGTCTTAGCATCTACTCCACGCATACAATCCATCACTAGACTTGGATCAGCAACTAATAGGCTACTGTTACAATTGCAGTCATCAACTAAAACTTTTCCGATATCTTGCGCTCTTTCTCCAGTCATCCAACTCCAGGGTGCGTTAAGAGTGCCTGATTGTAATATTCCTCTTTTAAATAATCCTTTCATCTCAGGTGACAGCATATGCAAGCTTACACTTCCTCCACCAGCTGACTCACCAAATAAAGTTATTAAATCAGGATCTCCACCAAACGCACGAGCATTATCTTTTATCCAACGTATCGCCAGTTGCTGGTCCCATAAGCCCATATTTCCTGGAGCTTCTTCACTTCCAGGTGAAAAATATTTATTTAAATACAAAAAACCAAATGCACCAACCCTATACTGCATCGATGCTACTATAACATCACTTGATGAGGCCATTATATCTGCTTTATACAGGTCAAGTGTAGCCGTTCCACTCATATACCCTCCTCCGTAAATCCATACTAGTATAGGCACTTTAGGCCTTTCTGCAAGAGGTTTATCTTGATGATGACGAACTCTTAAATGCTGTGGCACCCATATATTCAGATAAAGACAGTCTTCGGAAATGTTAGTGTTAGGATTCCACATTTCCTCTCCCTCGAATCCAGGGAAATATTCATATCTTTCTTGATAACAACTATTGGGCATTGCCGTAGCTTCAAGAACACCATGCCAGGGATCAATTGGCACAGGTTTTCGGAACCTCAATGGCCCTAGAGGAGGTTTTGCAAATGGTATCCCAGTAAAAATGTGCACTTCACGGCCCATCACCGTCTTAGCATAGCCCTTGACTAGACCACTCTTTGTCTCGACAATAAGAGGGTCATTGTGAAAATTCTTTGGCGCAGGGCTAGTCGTAGGTGTAGTTTGAGTCGTCGACGTTGTGGTGTCGTGATGGTTCGCCCACGACCGTCCCCACACTCCCGATACACAACAAAAACACAAAAGTAACTTCGTTAATACAACTTTGCAACTCATTTCGACTTTTTTATTCTTCAGTCTACTTAACGAGATGTATGTAATCGAAAGTAGTCCGCCAACTTTATCAAGTATTTGTTAAAACACATTTCTATTTTACTTGAACTCGGTGTCGCGCCTTCACATTCCTGGAACAAGAGAGAATGACATGTTAGAATATTCACTTAAAACATTTCGATGTGTCGAGATTTGTTTATAAAATTCAGAAAGAATTGACATAAATAAAATTTATATAATATAGCAAAATACATTTGTCTAATGGCTGTGTCTGTCATATATTACCAGTTAAATTATTACACGCAATGTGTATGAACTTAGTTTAAATATTCATTCTTGCCTAGGTTCTAACTTCAAAAGGTTAATCAGATTATTTATTTAAAACTAGCCAGCTATATTAACTACTCCTTCACTAACTAAATTAAGTCTCACTAACTAAAAAATAAGACGTGTTTTAATTCAGACAATGTTCAACATACGCACTTTCAAATTTATATCTAAGGAATAAAAATCACTTGAATAGAAATTGAATAGTTGATATAGCCTTTACGTGGATCCATTAGATGGGTTAAATCGAAGGAATTTTATTGCCACTGAAATGGTAAATCAATCACAATGAAATCGTTCGGCTGCGAATGGTTCACTTCTTTAATGGCAATAGCTGGAATTAATATTTGTACCACAAAGAATATTCTGGAAATTTGAAAATAGAAAACTTGACAAAAAAAATTATCGAACAAAATATTGTCAGTATAAATAATTATTTATTACCTACAAATGCAACAATTTGCTAGTAAATGAACAAGTGCGTTTGCTGCTTGCTTACACTGTAACAGTTTCACAAAGAGTGATATTTGGAATTAAGTTAGCTTACATTGATAATTTACACATAATTTTGTTTGTCATGTTTTGAACGTTCCAGCCATGCGAACAAAAAATACACGCATAATATATACATAGTAAAATTACTTATAATATTTTGCAGTATTTTTTTTAATTAGTAACTTGTACTGTAACTAAACCAGGAAATAATAAGTAGTCTCAAAATTTTAAACATGGTAAAATTAAAAGAAACTTCTTATCGAGTTGATCCATACTAATATTATAAACGCGAAAGTGACTCTGTCTGTCTACTGATACTGATAAAATTTTGTATGAAGATAGTTTTAGACTCTGAAAAGGCAAAGGATACTTTTATCCCAGAAATCATCACTTAAGGGAGTGTAAAGGGGATGGAAGTTTGTATGAGGAATCAATAATGTCTCAAGTAATGGATATAAAACTCATTATCATCATTACTTTTAAACTTTTGCTCATCATAAATATTCTTTATTTCCTAAATGAAGAATATTTCGATGCTTATGATCCATTTAATATAAAATTGGGACATTGACATCATTTTTTTTTAAATACCTACCTTTTTTTCTACACCTATGTATGTATAAGTATATTTCATACGAAACGTTAAAACGTACCTAGGAATGAACCTGAGCAAAGCGAGGGTGAGTCGCTAGTTTGAAATTAAAAAATACCATTAAAACTATTAGATAAACTAAACTAATAAATAAACTATTAGAAAAATTGAAGACATTATCTCTCAAAGTGAGCATTTTTCATCCGGGTAAATCTTACTCGCATTCAACAGATTGCCGATCGGAATCTATTAATATGTATGTCCAAAGAGTCTGGACCTAAAGCCAGCGGGTAATCATTATTTCATCGGACGTCGGAATCGCTCACGGGGGAGACATTACATTGTTTCAACATTCGATATGGATCGAAATGAATATAGAATTATTGCAACAGCTTATATGGGATCTTCTGAACCGTGAAACGGACTACGATTTGAATACTAACGTTATCCATATCTATACTGATATTAAAATGTGAAATTGTGTTTGTTTGTCTGTCCTTCTTTTACGTCGAAACGGAGTGACGGATTGGCGTGATTTTTTGTGTGGAGATAGTTGGGAGAGCTGGAGAGTGAGATAGGCTACTTTTTATCGCGGGAGATTACTTAATTCCCACGGGAGGACACGTTATAATACAATCCAAAAAAATGTACTATCAGAATTACTTGAAACTTGGTATATATGCTCTTCAACAAAAGTAAATACGTGTCTTAGCATTTTTTAAAATTCATCCTATAAGGGGATAAAATAGGGGAAAAGTTTGTATGAAACTACCTTTTTAGAGATTATTTGTAGTTTTAGCACGAGCGAAGCCGCGGGTTCTGCTAGTATACTATAATAACTATTGTTTGATTTTTGAGTGCAAAATTTTAAATTTTTAATACAGAAAAATATGTTATTGGTCTTCTTATGTTATCTGGATTCCACATGTGGGCTATAAGTCAAAAATTTTCAAAAATTTTGATACTTTGATTTGAGCAATATCATATACGTATTATGCCAATGTATTATAATCAAAATGTATCCTATTGTACTCTAAAAGAATAAAACAGTGTAGGTATTACATATCCTACATGTAGTATTTATTTACTAAAGAATCTGTGCAAGATACATAAAAAAAGCTTCTCATTCCTCTATTAGGAGGAAAAGAATACTAAATAACTACCGACCGGGCCTTTACTTCCAGTAAAAGACGACGCATGCTGTATGGCGCTTCCTAACGACCCATTTTGGTCTAATCAGGCAAATACAAACATCTATATTATGACCTACATAAATCGACACTGTCGTAGAACAAAATCGGATCTACAAAATAGCTACTTTACAGGAGAGCCGTTTAAAGTTTTGAAGTCACATTTTTTACCATAACTTTTCTCCTATTTAATTAATTGAAAATATATTTAGAAATAGCTTTTTGTCTTTTATTAAGAGCTATTACTAGATAAAAATAACAACATTTTATTTATGAAATAAAAAAAATGTGTTTGGATATTATAATCCGACGTTATATTACGTAACTTAGGACGTATGTTGTGACTTTCCGAAGTTGTTCGATGGAAAGTTGTACTACGTATATATACATGTCATGCTGTTCTGTGGAATTACAAAAGGGATATTGATGTCGTATGTTATTCTAGATAAATTAAAATTACTTAGGTTCTAAAAAAACTTTTTATTGCTTATACACAAGGTATATCTATATAAGTAAAGAAATGCAATATATAACCAACGATTATCTTTTATCCAAAATACAATTTGAAAATTGCACAAGCAAGGAATAAATCTAATTAAAAAGTCTTGTCATTTGGTAGTTAAACTCTTAATATTAATTGTGCGACTCCTTTATGATCAGTCTCAATGGGTAACAAAATAAATCGGTCAAATCACAAAATTTCAAAATATTAAAAATCTAAAACTCTTTAACAAATATGAGATCTCAGAAATAATAACATTTTAAATATCTATATCAACAACAGATATGAGTAGGTCTTTACCCATATATAATCATTAGATAAATATTAAATGTAACTAATTGCTTATACTAGGAATATGATTAAGCAGGTACTTCATATTCACTTCACATTAAAAAAAAAAAATTTCAAAAACTAGTAATAACAAAAAATACTTCTCTTCAAAATTGTCTCAGATCTGTTTAAATCCCACATAAATATTTAGTTTTAAAATATTGTATTTTCATAAACAAAAATATCAAATAAAATGAAATGTCTAATAACATTACATTTTATTTAGATAGATTAATTTAATAATTAACAAAATAATGAAAAAAAATGACTCATCATCAAATGGTAGGGATTTGAAATAAACGCGATGTTCAGAAATGATTATTATATATTATATTAATATATATTAATATTTATCTTTTGATATTTTGTACAAGCTGTTAGAAATAGATTTTAAATCAGGTAGAGCTGATGATAAGTTTTTGGTTCTAGATCCAATGACCAGACATATTATAACCACTTTCATTGATATCATATGTATAATATTATAATTAAGTGGGATCTTTTTTCTTGACATGGACTTCCTTTATCTGATTCCATGAAATCTTAATTCAAGTGTTTGGAAACAATATCTCTATATTGACGTTCGGCTGAAGCCCTCTTAACATATTTTGTTGGATTAAAACATTCTTTGCGTAATAGAAACATACACCCAATACTACGATTACCGTCCAAGTATAGCTTGATCGATCTCTTTCTAACGTAATGAGATAAAAGAATTGACGTGATCATAGACACTTTTTTTCGCTTTCAGAAGAAGAAGCTATTGGCAAGTTGTACTTATAACTAAATTTACGTAAATTAGGTTGATCTCTGTTAAGACATCGATGTTTCTTTACTTCTAAACAAAATTTATCTACAAACACCCACTGTTTCTATTTGTTACCGAGACTCCAAAACCTTTTAAAACAATATACTCGTAGTCTTTGTTCATTAGTAATTTATACACTACATTTATAACGCATACCCATAACCTTTTTCATCAAGAACCTTATCCCTCTTTGACACATATTTTTACCTGAATTCGTTAAGCTTTTCTTACATCGGATAGCTTACATCGATAGCTTTTTTACATCGGACCATGATTCTCTATTTATGTTCGTTTTTTTCGTCCTGAAGACAGTACTGCATTGGTATCTAATTCGGAAAAAGAACTTAGTCCACTTACAGTACTAGGTGAAGATGGTACTGGCCTATCCAGTGATCGTATAAAGCACAAAATAAGTCATTACACGTCTTGTAACTATTAGTCGGTAATGGCATGGGAGTAAGAATTATTAAGGGAGATGTAGGTGTAGGTTTTCAAATTCTTAGATGACCACAGGAGGAGAAGCCTCAAAACTGGTGTTGGTATCTTCTATACCAAATGGTGTCAAGTCTTTAACTAAATTTCTATCTTCATCGCCATCTGCAAATACTTTCTACGCTATTTCCCTCAATTGGTTGACTATGATTTCCACTCCAGGGGGTAAAGGTTATTCTGGTTTTTCAACTCCAAGACCTGCAACATAGTAAAATATTTAAAGATATGTCTAACTAAGACAAAAAATTCTCAAATGAAAAGATCTAG